TATTTATTGAAATGCATTCCCTTGTAATGGAACTCATTTAGCTTCAATAGGGCCACAAAATAAGAAACAGAAGAAGAGAATGTTAATAATAATAATCCTGTCCAAAAAAGTATAAGCATGGTAAGCAATGTGAAGTGATACTTGATTAATTTAAAGAGGAGCATTTGTATTATTTGCAAAAGCATGTGATGTAAAATAATGACTACTAGTATTAATTGGCTTGCACAATGTACTATTAACTTGCATAGATTTGGGAATGATGAAAATACCAACAGTAACGTCCCATGTGATTCCCATATTGTAAAATAGCTGTAGAGGGGATGCAGAGGACTACAGGCTAGTGAGTCTAACTTCTGTTCCTGGAAATATGGTAGAGCTAATAATAATAAAAAAAGAATTATTTTATGGATGAGCATGACTTGCTGGGGAGGAATCAACATGTCTTTGTCAAAGGGAAATTATGCCTCTTCTACCAACTAGAATTCTTTGAGGGTGCCAGTAAGCTTGTGGATCAGGGCAATCCAGTTGACATAGCATATCTAGACTGCCAAAAAAAGCCTTTGACAAGGTTCCTCATTATGGGTTTGCTTGGAAGCTCCACTTGTAGATTAGAAATTGGTTTAAAGATAGAAAATGAAGAGTGAATATAAATGGTCACTTTTCGGGATGGAAAGAAGCAAGCAGCAGGGTCCCCCAGGGATCTGAGTTGGGACCAGCGCTATTTAACTTATTCATAAATGATCTGGGAAAAGGTGTGAACAGTGAGGTGGTCAAATTTGCAGATGACACAAAGTTTTTCAAAGTGGTAAAGACAAAGGTGAACTGTGAAGAACTACAGAAAGATCCGGCACTATTGAGTGAATGGGCAACTAAATGACAGATGAAATTCCATGTATATAAATGTAAAGTGATGCATGTGAGCAAAAATAAACCAACTGATAACTACACTAATATGAGCTCTACATTGGCTCTTACCTCACAGGAAAGAGATCTGGGAGTCATTGTGGACAGTTTGCTAAAAATATTAGCTCAGTGATCAGCAGCCATCAAAAAATGCAAACAAAATATTAAGGATTTTTAAGGGAATTGTAAACAAAATGGAAAGTATCATGGTACCCCTCTATAAATCAATGGTGTAGCTGCACCTTGAATACTGTGTCCAGTTCTAGTTCCTTTGCCCCCCCCCCCCCCCCCCTTTAAAAAAAGCCCCCCCCCATCTTAAAAAGGCTAGAGAAGGACTAGAGAAGGTCCCAAGAAGAGCAGCAAGGAAGATTAGTGGCATGGAGGGGCTTCTACGTGCAGAGACCCTAAAGAGTCTAGGCCTATTTAGTTTAGAAAAGAGATGCTTGAGGGGGTACATAATAAGGGTTTACAAAATACTAAATGGTAAAGAGAAAGTAAATAGGGATCTATTGTTTACTCTCTCTCACAATACTAGAACTGGGAGTCATAAATGAAACTAGGAGATCGTAAGTTTTAAACTAACCAAAGGAAGTTCTTTTTCACACAGTGTGCAAGTAAAGTATGGAACTCATTGCCACTGGATTTTGTAAAAGCTGGCAGTTTAGCCAGGTTGAAAAAGGGATTAGACACATTCTTGGGCTAGGTACAGACGTTTAAAAAACCCAAGGCAGATTAAAACTAAATTGCATGTGTTTCTCTAAGTGGACTATGTTAGTTTGGGAGCAAACAGAACACAAGTTTGCCCTTTCAAAGCCTACCTGCACTGGCTGAAGCCAGCAGGCTGAGGGCACTCCTACATGCCTCCCAGCATGTCAAAGGCTGCTAAGGGCAGCTGAATACAGCTGAGTGATGAGCCACCCCTGATTAGATGCCCAGTGCGCTAGGATGACCTGCTCTAGGGCTCCGTTGGAAGGGGGTTGGAGGTGTGTGCCCAGCTGCTCCACAGAAGGAAGGATCAGGCCCCTTAGAGCTCCAGTCAGCAGCAGGCATTCAGCAGCCCCATGCCATGCAAGGGGGAAAGGAGTGCTCCACAGATGGAAGGACTGGGCCCCTCAGAGCTCTGGTGAAGTGCAGGCAGTGGCAGCAGGTGCCCAGTGCAATTCCTGCAATCACACCAGGCACCTGCTGCTAGGTGCCTGCTGCTCATCAGAGCTCCAAGGGGCCAATCCTTCCTTCTGTTGAGCATCCCTTTTCACTTTGTTTGGTGAGGGGCTACTGGATAGATACCTGCTGCTCTCTGGATCTCTGAGGAGCCTAATCCTTCCTTCTGTAGAGCGCCCCTCCCCCACAAAGCAACAGCGTAATTAATATTGGATGCGTGTCAGTGTTGGTTTTCATGACAGTTGCCATTTATATGCTTCATTGTTTCAAACTAGAGGTGAAAACTGAGACATCTTATTGGAGAGAAGAATAAAATCCTTAAATAAAGACTTATGGTTATTAATAGCCATTATACAAACAATGAGTATCTTGTTTCAGTAATGCAAGTCTATTTCATTTTAATTCATGTGCAACATTGTGACTATAAGGAAGCAATGTAGGTCTGTGCCCAGGGAATGCTATGTGCTGTTTTTCTGTATGAGAATAGAAATGGCTTATTGTCCTACCACTGTGTGTTTGTGGTGTTTAAGTAGTGCTTAACCCTATTTGGCTTCTGTGGCCTTTCCTTTTTTCTTGTGAAAAGAATATATCTAAACTCTTCTGTATAATCTCATCCATTTAAATTTTAATAGGCATGTTTCTCTCATGCTGGTGTATTTATACTCAGTGGCACTCCATATTTAATAGTTTATGTAAAATTTCAAATTCATCTTACCTTTATTTCACATTATTGATGTTCATCTTTTGAAATTCAGCTAAAGGAATTTATCTTGCCATGTGAGCATGAAATCATCCTTTAAAAGTGACTGATATCAGGTGAAACGTAACTAAAACTACTAAAGAGAGATGGTTACAAGCTGGGCTAACATAGCATAGAGCTTCTTTCTTGATGATTTCACACTGATTTTTTTTTTTTAATTTCCTGTAGGACTTCATAATTCTTCTGTTCTTGACTTCCATTCCATGATATAAAATCTATTTAACACCAAACGCTGTTATTAGTTTCATTTAATGTAATGTTCTTTGGCAATGAGGCCTTTTCTTTTTATAGATCTTAGTTAAGCACTTGTGGACGCTGTTGCTTTGCAGTCCTAGGAATTTCAGAACCCTATCTATCTTTAAAACGAAGACAACTTGATTAAAACATAGGAAGTAACTACATTACCAATAGTAAGAACTCCTATTGTTAACACCACAGTGTGACCAGGCTTCCTTAAGAGTGACAGAATAAAGTAATTATTTCTTCTTTAATGCCACCAGTAAATTCAACTAGATTTGTTCCTCATGTTAACAAGTGCAGCCGAACAAAAGGTGCCAAAAATTATCTGTGACTTTTCATAAAAAATAATTTAAACTCTGTGCATGTGTGTGTGTGTGTGTGTCTACTTTATTTGATTCTTTTAGCGAACAAAAATGTGGCATTATAAGACAACGAAAATGAAAACCTCAAGGTAGCAAGTTGAAATGGACACTGTTAAAATGATGATTAATCCCACAAAGCTCATTCCATCATTCAGTCATTTCATACCTCGTGACTGACCCAGTTCTTCATACCTAGGGTGACCACATGGGAGAATGGGAAATCCAGGACACCTCCACCCCCCCACCCCCAGATCAGCTGTGCTGCTGCAGGCAGAGGCAAAGGTGGGGCAGCTTGGTGATAAAACTTCAAAGAAAAAGTTGAATGGTTGCTCACTGGTGAATGGATGCTGGAGCATCTGGTTCTCATGAGTAACAAACAATGGATCATTCTGAGTTTGCACAGACCTACTGGTATAAGTATTCTGGTATGAATAGGGTGACCTTAGGTCCTGGTTTTGCTAAGACAGTCCTGAATTTTGAAGGTTGGTCCCAGCTGGCTGGTGAGAAATAAAATGAGCATCCTAGAAATGCAGAGATGCAGAATACATGTTTTAGCTCAGAAGTGGCTTCACTTTTTTATATGATTGCCTCTGAGTAATTTTAAATAAATCCCCTGAAATACTATATAAAAAAATCTTGGTGGCAAAAGGAAAATATGAGACTTCACCTTAAATAAATTAACAAATAAATTCAGCTGGGTTTTTGGTTGTCGCCGCAGCAAGGTTCTTTGAGCAGATGTAATTTTATCAGACCAACTGAGTAGTTCTCTTATTTCCTGGAGTCTCAGAACAGCAGAGACTCCCTATGCCTGAAGAACGGTGATTGTACTCGAAAGCTTGCTAAGAACTTTTTTTTCCAACTACTCAGTTGGCCTAATAAAAGATATCACATCTTCTCAAAGAACCTTGCCAAACAAATTAAGGAAATCCTTCTCTGAAACAGCCTGTGGCTCATGTACAAATCTCTTCTCTGTTTGATTCTATTGGCTAGTTTGAGGCATACACTTTCTCTAGTTCTTTGTGAAAATCTTGAAATGGTCTCAGTTTGTAATGGAAAACATTTTTTAAATCTCTGAAATTTACACAGGATGGGAGGAAGGTCAAGCTTAATGGGAATTAATGGGAATTAATGTTGTCCTAGATGCAGTATAGAGCATCTCCCAGTTCATTTGAAGCATGAAAAGGTGAGATACTTTACTTGATGTATATCTACCTATATTCTTATATTACTTTAGAAGCCGAGCATTTATGGTCTAATGTAACATGTTTTATACTTACATTGTTTAAGAGTGTTTCTAAAGATATGGTTAGCTCAACCATAGTCTATGGTCAGGAATTCATGGTTGAAATGCATAGCTTGGATTTGCAGGAAATTGGACAAGATTATAATGGTCGTTTCTGGCACTGATCTTTCTCTGAATTATTTGAATTATTGTGAAATTAATTGAAATAGACAATTGAGTGTCTGTGTACCTAGATTAATTGGCAAGTGATTATAAATATGGTAGCTTATTGTGTTTATGTACAGTACATTTTTGTAATAAATTAACCTTTTTTCTTCTTCTTTCTCCTCAGAAATATTTCCAAGAGATTCCAATTTAAAAGACAAATTCATAAAACACTTCACAGGTAAGCAAAATGGTTGCTTTAAATTCATGTACATCTAGATATACTCTGTGTATCCAAGTAGCCAGGAGAAACTAATTGCATTGCTGATATCATTCATAATGAAGTTACATCCATTTCACGTAAGGCTGATATTTCTAAAGAAGCCTAAGGCTAATAAGTGCCTTAGTTGTATTGAAGCTTGGGCATCCTAACCTCCTTTGATTATCCCTGAACAAAAATCCTTTTTGTTTTTAGTTATAGGCACATTAACATTGTGTGTTTTATGATTGTAAATATTGCTTACTTTTCACCACCATAAAATTGCTTCCGTGTTTACAGTAGTAGTGTTCTTGAATAGTACAAGGCACAGGGAAGTTGAGGTCTGGAGTAACAGGAGTCTTGGGCAGAGGTAAAAGGGAAGATATGAGGGAAAACTAGTGACATGATATAGGAGGGGAAGGAGAAAGGGAAGAGGAATCTGGAAAAAGGACATTAAGAAGATAAATGTCTTTGGGGGCAACAAGTAGTAGGAGATGCCTCAGTAGCTGAGATGCAACTTCAGACAATGAGTGTGGCTAGAATAGGACCCCAAACCAGGTGGTACAGAGGATTCTCTGGAGAGTTGGGAAGAGTTACAGAAGGAGCCAAGAATACAGAACAATAGCTATGGAAAGAGCAGGACAGAGAAGCCGAGAAAAATACCTGAGAGTCTATCAATATAATATTGGACCTAATGTAATATTGGACCTATATAATAGAGAAGTCTGAAGGAACATTTATATAATAGGTCCAATTCTTAACTGTTCCTTCAGACTTCTTGTTGCTGTGTAGAGATTGTCTTTTATTAACACTTTTTTCTCTTTTTAATGCTAAAAATACTCAGCTATGTCCCAGATCAGATATGGCCTTCAGCCCCAAACCCCTCTCTGCCAACACTGCTTGACCACTGAGAGCAGTCTGAGATGCTCATATGGCGCTTCAGCTTTACCTGTCTCACCTGGTTCTTGCCAGCTCTTAGCAAAGTGATTTTTACCAGCTAAAAGTTATCACACACTTGTCTAAACACATTCCTGTCAGGGCTTCCTGCAACTTCTCCTGTCAGAGAAGCTTTCCCCCACCTGTGAGAAATGTCATTTCCTGAACAGCCTAAATAGCCAGGAGACATTCTCACCAGAGGCCTCTCCTTTTAAATTGTAAATTTGTCATTCTGGAAAGACCTGGCTCAAGTGCCTAAAGCTAATCCGCAAGGGCCTATTTGACTGGCCATTTTACTCACCTTGGATGCTAATTCTCAGCCATTTAGGCTTCTGTCCTTTCTTAGATGCTAAACTCATTGTTTAAGGCATAACATCTAAAAATCAGGCTCATGTTATGCAATCCTGCCCCTACTTTAATGTATAAGAAATACATTTATATCAAATACCATAATGCATATAAACTTAAGGACTGTAAAGCTAAATATAGCTTCACACTACCTATGCACAGAGACTATACATGCCATATCAGTAAAACAAGTTCAGGAAAACATGCATGACATGCCACAAGCTCATCAAAATATTGTGGGCTCATGACAGTCCTTGCTGAAAAAATTGTGGAGTTAAATTAGAAGTTTTCCCCTTCTTACCAGTCCTTATAAGGGCTGCTAGAACATCCTTAATTTCAGATGCCTTTTAGGTTATTCAGGCCTCCTAGGGCTCCTATACATGTGCAGGGAGGCTGCTCCAGTATGCTGTAATTACAGTGCATCAGAGCAGACTTGAGTGTGCTGAAGCATGGTAATTACTGTGCTCCAGAAGACTCCAGTGTCGTGTGTATCAGTGTCCCCGCACTGAAAAATGGTGGTGTGGTCTTTTAAACTAAAGCTTGTTTGATGAGCTTTAGTTCAAAGTGCCCCGCCACTATTTTTTTAGCATAGAGACGCTGATACACATGACACTCCAGGTGCTTTTAATTAGCATGGTTCTTGGAGATGTGCTAATTAAAGCACACACCCCCTCACTATACCTCCCAGATCACGTGTATAAACATCCCTAGAGTCTAGTTAAGTTGACAAGGAAGTCCTCTTGATGAAACATAGGGTGTCTTTTGTCCAGAAAAGAGCATCCTGAATGAATTCAATACATACATTCAAAACTCAGTTAAATAACAATCAAGTTCACTTTATTTATACATTAAGCAAATAACTGTGAAAAGTAGGAAGCTCCTTTGAAGACACTCACATGCACACTGTTTCTTCCACTCTAATTGTCTAGGCTTTCAGGCATTTCAACCCCTTTTGATTCCCATTCCAAACTTCAAATTACCTCCACAGGTTTAGAAGAAAGGATTTGTCTTACCTTATTCCGTTTCTTTAACCAAAGTTCCCATTCTTCCCTTATAAATCCATTCCCCACGCTATCGAACTTTTTCCATAATTAATAGTGCAACTGCTGCTTTGAAAAGAGCCAAAATCAATCAGGAGACATTATTTTGTTACTTGGTCTGCTTTTGTAGAATTCAGTCTTATAGTAACTAAAACAGCCACAATTTCATCACTTTTCAGTCTAAATTGAAAAAAAAAAAATCTTCAACTTGGCTTTCTCACATAGCATGTCCAATTTATTTATAGTGGAATAACAATTGGAAAAAAAAAACTTCACTTGACTATATGATGGTATTTTTTGTTTGTTTCTACATGTGGAAACTGCTTGGATAAAGCCATGGATACAGTATAAGAACCTATAATATGGAGTAAATAAATAGCAGTAACGAAGAGCAGTTATGAATACTATCAAGCATAAATCTAGAGTACTGAATATCAGAAGTCAGAGATTAAAAGGATACTGTATGGGGCCTGACTCTGGAGCCATGAATCATGTGAATATCTATTTTTGTGTGAGTTGTCCCAAGGAAAATAGCAAGACTATTTGCCTAAGTAATGCATGACTAAATCAGGTAGGATCATTCTGGAAGTCAGGAATCTCATTCTCTTGTCAGCACAGGATTATTTCCTATGTAGTATTTAATAATTTTCTCCAATTGAGTTTTAAGGTCTTGGGTGGTGTTCCTGTTTCTTTGATAACCTGTTCAGCAACTTTAGTAGGTCTTCCCATGAGTATATTTTCCTTTAAAATTTAGCCTACATTTTCAGTTCCTTAATTTTATCTCATTAACATGAGATGAAATGGCACTGGCACTGTATCCAGATGAGCTAACACAGCTTGGAACTGTGACATGCATCAGAACAGCAGAGAAACAAAACACTGTCATTTTTTTATGGGGCTAATTGAGCAAGAACAAAGATATATCAAATCCTTAAATAAAACAAAATCGCCTTGGAAGCCAAGTCCTACATTAAAATCCATGAAGCATTTAGATGAAAATAGAAGCCACAATCTAATTTCTTTAGTGTTGTTGGGCTTAGAAACTTCTATTTATTTAAAATCTATTTAAAATGCCGCATCTGCTTAGCAATTAATTTAGGACATCCAGGCAATGAACTATATCACTTTTATTGATTCTACCTTTGATTAACTGAATACTGTGGTAGCTATGCAATTTTATTTTTTACCTTATTGGAAATATTACTGTTAACTTTGTACTTCTTTCTGGAACTTCATGACCAAAACAGTTGGTGTTGTAGCAGAAAGCCCCTTTTCCTCTTGCCTGCAGTTGCTTTCCCCGCCTTGGATATGTTTTTCCTCTTCTACCTTTTCTTCCTTTCTCTTTCGTTCACTTTAAGATAAGGAATTGTGTTTTGAAATTTGTATGTGTGCATTTTGTTATCTCCCCTTGTATTTTGGTATTTTTATCTATTTGTGAGCCATGGCATTACTTTTGTAGCTTATATTTTATACTCCTCACCTTTCAACTTTCAACTAAATGTGTTTAGTTTCATAAGTTATACATTGTAACAATGTTAACAAGGGCAGGAATCAAACTGCCCTTCCCTGTATCAGGCTGGCCCCTGAAAGAGGGAGTGAATCAGTGATTGAATGCGTAACACAGTAGCAGGCAGCAATTAACACCTAAGAAAACTGCAGATCAACCAAGGGAAGAACTCAATAGAAGACTATGTAACAACTGGGAAATCTCTTAAACCTCACTGATCAAGGGCTAGAAGCCCTGGCCTGAGTTAATCAATGCCGGGGACCAACTTTTGGGCTGAATATCTCCAAATCGACTGCTCCCAGAGCCCTATTCAAAATTCATCAACGGACTCCCAAACCTGCACATACATGCGGACGACCCCTGGGGCTGACAGATGCCATCCAGTAGCCACCGAGGGGGGGAAGTCCCATGAGGGTCAACGACCCCTGGATTGGGCAAACCTGAAAACTGGGGAGTCACCAAAGTCTGCCAAGGACAGATAAAAAGCAGTGAAAAGTGACCCTCAGTGGTGCCCTCTTGATCTCCAACTTGACCAGCACCTGACCTGTCAAGCCAGAAGGACCAGCCAGCAACCCCCTTCTGGAAGATGATACCACGCTGAAAGAAGCCTCAACGACAGACTCCAGCGCCTGTAGGATAGGTATACCTGACTCTTGTAGCTTGCTACTGTGTGTGTGCGCGTGTGTGTGCGTGTGTGTGTGTGTGTGTGTGTGTGTGTGTGTGTGGAAGGACCAGCCCCAAGGTTTATGATTTAACTCATTACAGTGTTTCAATCTGCCTAATAAACCAGAATTTTAAGGATCCCGAGTTGGACATTTGTAGCCAACAGTGTATCATTTTCAAAAGCCTTTATTTCTGATCGTGATCATGCTCATATCAGTGTGAGAAGGCATTGCAGCAGTATTTTACTATAATAAAGATATAATGTATCAAATATTAAAAAGCACAAATAAGGATGTCATGCCAGGTTGTGGACAGCCAAGTCTGAGAGTCACTCAGGGTCTAGAAGAGCAACTTGGATCAAGAGGAACACACAGAATCTGAGTACTGGGGAGCCAGGAGGTCAGTTGGAAGAGCTGAGCCAGGGATTTGGATGGCTGGGCAGAGTGTAGAGTCAGAAAGCAAGCCAGGTCAGGTATCCAGGAAATCAAGCCAGGACTAAGAAGCCAAAGTGTCAGGTATAAGATGGAGTCTGAGGGCGAGCCAGGTCAGGTAGCCAAGGGATCAGTCAGAGAGCTGGTTGAGGCACAAGCCAAGGGCAAAGGAGACTGGTACAGGTTAAGCCCTGTTGCCCAGACACTTTTCTTTTGAGTCAGATGTTTCTATAGGAAGAGGTGAAGGGCCAGCTAACCCTGATTGGCCAATCTGGTGGCAGGGAGTGTGTAGGTGGCTAGGCCCAGATGGAAGGTTTTGGTCACCAGCATCCAGCCTGTGTGTTCAGCCAGGGAAGTGGCAGACTAGGATGAGTGAGCAGACTGAGACCTCCCTCTCTCCTCCCCTCCCCAAGATCCAGGAGATGGCCTGACAAAGTGAAACCTTAGTGATAAGGTTTAGACATGAAAATCAGCAATCCTTCCCCAACAACTGTCATGTGTGCATGTATACTTCCTGTTTTTGCAAGAATTCATGTAATCATAACCAGGTTACATTATAATTTTAAAAGTCACATTAATGGTATTTTTAAGTATGTTAATTAGGGCTGTGCAAAATTTCGGTAGCTGTTTAATTTTGGAGGTGTTTCGGGTTGTTTTGGTGCCTGAAACACTGAATACAAATCAAAACAGAAGGCTCTGAAACATTTTGGAAATGTTTTGGAGAATTTCAGTTTCAGAGCCGGGCTTCCAGGGAGACAAAAACTAAGAAGAGGGAGGGAAGGACTGCTCTGATATTGACATCTAGCTCTTGGTTAGATTCCCCAGCTCTCTGATCATTCCCCCAGCTCTTCCCTGGGGGGCACAGGCCCCCTATCTGCACACAGGGTATCAGCAGGCTGCTGCTACAGGCTGGGGCTATTGGCAGCCGCTTGGCTCAGCCTGCACTGAGTGCCAGGAGGACTGTGGTGCTGCTGCTGCCTCCAGTGCACCTAGTGTGCAGATCCGGGGGCCTGACCCCCCTGGGAAGAGCTGGGGGAATGATCAGGGGTTGGGAAATCGAACCGGGGGCTGGTGAATCCCTGCCATGCTACCTGGCTCCTCAAGGAGTAGAGATCTGTGTCAGGGTCTCCTCCCTGCTGCCCACCCTGTGCAGCCCCAGATCTCTGCTCCCTGTCAAGCCAGGTCATGTGGAAGGGACCAGGACTGCTCTGCCACGTGACCTGGCTCCTCAGGGAGCAGTGATCCATGCTGGGATCTCCTCACCTCCACTGCCTGCCCCGTGCAGCCCCATGTTGCCGGGACAGAGCGGGGCAGGCAGTGATGGCGAGGAAACTCTGGTCCGGATCTCTGCTCCCTGTGGAGCCAAATTGTGCCGCAGGGACCAGCAGGCTTCCTCACTGCTCTGCGCTGCTTCCCTGCCCCGTGACCTGGTGTGACAGGGATCAGAGATCTGTGTGGGGGTCTTCTCACCTGCACGGAGGGCAGCAGCCCTCTCCCTTTCCCGGATGAGGCATCCATGGCCTTGTCCTGCTCCGCGCTGGGACCCTGCTGTCCCCAACCCCAAGCCTTGCTCAGCTGGGTAGGTAGGGCTGTGTGAAGCTTCCCTTGAAGCCCATTCAAAACAGATTAAGAGGAGATTCAGCCAAAACAAAAAAGGACAATGATCTGAAACACCAAAAAGAATCATGGTCCTCTGAAAGGACTGAATCCAAAACTGAATCGAAACACAGCTGTTTCGCTCAGCCCTAATGTTAATGTTGTAAAAAGTCACCAGTTGTGGGGGTCCAACATATTATTTCAGTTCTTGGCCTTTTTAATGTTTTTGTTTCTGAAGATTTTGTTTAATCATGAAGAATATTGAAGCACATTTGGACTTATGCTCTTATACACATATGCATTTGAATTTATCAAATCATCTTGGTAATGTTCATTTTGTAATTAACTCCTGTTTACTTTACTATCTAATAGGGCCAGTCACGTTCTCAGCTGAGTGTAGCAAGCATTTCCATCGACTCTATCACAACACAAGGGACTGTTCAACATAGCAAGCATTTCCATCGACTCTATCACAACAGTAGGGACTGTTCAACCCCAGCCTGTAAGTAAAAGCTGAAATTATATTTAGCTGTAAGAGTAGCGACTTGTCCACTAAAAAACATGCTTGGTTTTCTTCCTGAGTGTGTACCATATTAAACATGGATGTGATATTTTGCTCATACATATATTTCTTATACTATTGGTACACTAGAAATGAAGTTAGCTGTGTTAGTCTGATGTCTAAGGCAGAAGAAAAGGCAAGGTAAACACCTTAGAGAACAACTTATTCAGGCTCTCATAGGTAAGAGCCTATTTTGTCAAGTGCTATGAAACTAAATTTTATGCTAGCGTAATTCTGTTAATTCTAATGGAGTTTCTCCCAGTAATAAGACTAGTATCCACGAGAGAAGAACCAGGACTTTGGGGAACAGATAAGTTATAGTATATTCAATTTCTGATAATTATTTTTCTGAAATTTACAGCTGTACCTTAAAGAATTAAATTCAGTACACTCCCAACTTGCGTTAGGTTTTTCTTTGCAAACAAAAAAAATGCTAGAAACAATATAGTCATTGCCTACATTATTGACAGATGCCCTTTCCCTTACCCAGGCAAAATTCCAGAGAACTTGTTGCAGTGGTAACTTGCAAAACGGGAGAAAAATGAATATGTCATTTGATTACAAAATTAAATTGTATTAATCAAGTGAGACCACACACTGTAGGACAGTGCTTTCTAACAAATCTTTACCATCCACATTTTTAAAAAAAATGGTCACTTGAGGTCATAAGGCATCATTCTGCAAAGTGGTGACCATTTCTTATGAGCTTCTGAGAGTCTTTAATTGTGTGCCATGTTGTAGCAGGTTTGAGCCCCCTTGAAGCAGCCATGACACCCCCCAGTGAATACATGGCTCCTGCCCCACTCAGGCCCCCTGGGTTACTCTCCCTCTTCCCCCTATCTCCCCTGCCACACCTTGATATACTTAGTTGATTTGTAAAAGGGAGGCTTCCCTGGGGTCCCAGAGCGAGCCCTCATCTGTCGTCCAGCCAACAGGTCCTTTCTGCACCCTGCTGAATTCAGTCCTGTCCCTCAAGCACTAAGTGGGCCCTTCTGGCCTTTCTGTGCCCCAGGGCACCTGTTGTCTTCTTGGCCTCTTTCTGCCTCTACAGATAGGCCCATGCTTCATGGATGTGATCAGTAAATCACTCTTAAATCAGGCCACTGTAAACCTCTTTTCCCTTGTCTGGGCCTTGTCCCTCCTGGCCTCTGCCCCTTTCCTCTGGCTGGCCCCTTTAACATAGGCCTAGGGTGCCACATCTTGTTCCTTCTTGAGCTGTGGTCCTGGTTGTCTCTCTCTAGGGCTGTGGGCCCCTAGCCCTGGTTGCACCTCTCTCAGTTTTCTGCTTCCCTGTAACTAAAATGCTTCCATGCTGGGTTCTACTTCCTGCAAGCCTCTTACTTGCAGTCCCCAGGGCAGCTCAAGTGCCAGACTGTCCCTCTCCTGTAGCCATCCTGCTCATGAGCTTCTCTGCTTGCCACCTGCAGGGCTAGACTGCATGTTGTGGCTCAGGCCCTGGGTTTATATTTCTCCCAAACCCTGCCCCTTCTGGTCAGGTGACTTCCTAGCCACCTGCAAGGGTTTCCATTTAGATCCTGATGGCTACAGTATTGCCAACCCCAGTGTATCAAGAATCAAGAGACAAACTCTTAAAAATCAACAGATTTCGTATGTAAATCAAGAGATGCTATTTTTGAAGTACAAACCAATATGAATATATTGACTGTTGGTTTATAAACCCCACTAGTCACTTATTTAACTTCTAAGAGGTCAGAGATTTATACAAAAACTATATTACTACAACTGATAACGCTTTAGAAAAAAAATAAAAATTCGTACCTGTTGTTACGATTGGGATGACATCTGCTGGACTGTTGTGCAGCACTTTCCAGACAGACATGGACAGCGCCCAGCAGGTAAATCTGTGGAAAGACAGGGCAGGGGGGAAGGGAATGGAAGGGGTAGGGAGGCAGACTGGAGCCCCCATGCTGAGGGAGGGTATGGGGTTAGAAGCAGGGGCTGGGATGAATGGGGCCCACAGGTGCCTTGTCCAGAGGCACAGGGGAGTGGGGTGCAGCTCCTGGCCACTGCGCATCCCCCTGGGGGAGGCATGGGGGCATGTGCCTCCCAGATTTGTGCACAAGGCAGAGGCAGGCTGCCCTCTGCGGGCTGGGGCTCTGTGCCCTGTTGCCTTTGCCTCGGTAGCTGCACACTGGCTGCGCTGCGCATTCCTTGCCCATCTGGTGGCAGGAGATGCAACATAGCATCCTGCTGCTCTCATAGCCCCAGCCCATGATGGGCAGCCCACCTCTGCCCCACACAAATGCAGGAGGGCACATGCCCCCCATTTATTCCCCTGTGGGGGCATGCAGTGTAGAGGGGAGCCGCGCCTACCCTCCCCCTTCCCACCCCCACCTCTGGATGAACCACCTACAGCTCTGTTGCACAACCTGCCCTGGCTTTGGGGCCCTATTCACCCGTGCACCTGCTTCCACTCCACTGCCTCGATGTCTTCCCCAGGACTGCCCCTTCCCTCTCCCCCTGCCCCTTCTCCTCCACAGACTTACCTGCTCCTTGCTGCTCTTCACACACCAGAAGAAGAAAAGAAATCCTGAGATTTGAGAGTTCTGTTGTGAGAACAGATGATACCTGATGATACCAAGTTATGGGGCAAAGTTAGTACACTGGAGGGCAGGGAGCAGATTCAGGCTGACCTGGACAGGTTGGATCAATGGGCAGAGAGAAATAGGATGCAATTTAATAAAGATAAATGTATGGTACTCCACCTGGGAAGGTGGAACCCTCAGCACACCTATAGGTTGGGGAGTGTCCTTCTCAGCAGCTCGGAGCCAGAGAGGGATCTTGGAGTCATAATTGACTCCAAGATGAACGTGAGCTGGCAGTGTAATGAGTCCATCAACAAGGTCAATCACACCTTGTCGTGCATTAGCAGGTGCATTACTAATAGAACAAAGGAGGTGATGCTCTCCCTCTATGCGGCACTGGTCAGGCCGCAGTTGGAGTACTGTGTCCAGTTTTGGGCGCTGCACTTCAAGAGGGATGCGGGGAATCTCGAGAAGGTCCAGAGGAGAGCCGCTCGCATGATTAGTGGCCTTCGTGATAGACCCTACAGGGGGGAGGTTGAGAGAGCTGAATCTCTTCAGCCTTCACAAGAGATGGCTGAGGGGAGATCTTGTGGCCACCTATAAATTTACTAGGGGAGGGCAACAGGGAATAGGGGAAGCGCTGTTTACTAAGGCGCCCCAGGGTGTGACTAGGAATAACGGGTGTAAACTAGTTGAGAGTGGATTTAGGTTACATATTAGGAAGAAATTTTTCACAGTAAGGGTGGCCAGGATCTGGAATGGGCTTCCAGGAGAGGTGGTGCTATCACCTAGGTTGGAGGTCTTCAAGAGGAGACTAGATAGTCACCTGGCTGGGGTCATCTGACCTCGGTCCTCTTTCCTGCCAGGGGCAGGGGGTCGGACAAGATGATCCATTGTGGTCCCTTCCGACTCTACACTCTATGAATCATGAGTCAGACTTAATTTTACTTAGAAATCGCAACTTGCAATAACGTCGTGAGAGTTGGCATTACTTTGGCTAGCTTCCAGGGAAGTTTACAACTGCTACTCTTACTGTCTTAGCAGGGATCTGCCCTACTGTCCTATTGCTGGGCTGCTAGCCTTGCAATACGCACTCTTAGTCTATGAGTCCCCAGCCGCCTACTCCTCTGCAGCCGGCTCATAATTGGCAGTGATTCCCCCTACCTGGGGATCTCCCTGCCAGTGTTTCTTTCTTAAAGTAATGGGAGCCTCTGGCATCCTGTTGCAGATGCTAAGTCTCAGTGGGAATCTAGTTTTTACATAGAGCACAGTACTCAAATCCTGATTGGCTTAGTAATAGTGGCCCTAAGTCAGCCCTTAGAAATAGAGAAACTGATTCTGTAAAGACTAAATGTATTTGCTTCCTCTTTGCAATACATTTTTTTTTCCTTTTTCCTATGGTGTTTAGATATGTGGGAGTAAATACTTTGATGCTTAATAATCTTCTAAGTTTCAGAAATTACTAGACTCTCACTAGGGAAGTAGTGTGTATATGTAGCTAGGCCTTTCATGTTAGATACATTTAGTAAATATGATTTTTTGAATTCTGCTGCATTGTGTGATTCCTTCATATTATATACCCTGAGGAAAGAACAAGATTCACAATTCTTCCCTCATACAGTTGTGTAGGGTGGGTATCTGCATGGCAGAGAGTTAGACTGTAATTATAGCTTATGTAAATAACTTATTGTTCAGTTCAACCATTGAACCAAAACTCAGTTTGATTTGAAACAAAGAAATATTTTATATTTATATTTTTGCAAAACAATAAGGAAAAAACCTTTATTTTGTTCAACTTGAAATGTTCTGTTTCACTGAAAATGAAGGGCGAGATTTTTAGCAGGGCTGAAGAAGGAAAAGGAAGCATCATTTCCTCCCTTTAGCCCATATTCAGTGGTTAGAGCACTTGCAAAGGTTGAAAGAGACTTCTGCCCAAAGCGGGATTAGAATCCACTTCACAGGTGTGCACCCAAGCCTGTAGACTATGGGGCGTTTTTGGATAAAGATTGTTCACTTTCTCCTGTCCTACATCCTGAAAGAGAAGACTATTGTAGAATTTTCCCAGACTGGAATATCTTAAGCAGGACAATGTGGAGAAGCCACCACTAAGAGCACCCCACTGCCTGGAAGTTAGGATACTCTCCAGGAAGGCAGGAGAGCCAAGTTCATATTTATTCACTTCAGATACCAGAAAGGGATTTACATCAAGGTAAGTAGTTAAATAGCCACAGGGATAAGAGGGCAACAAAGAGAATGTCCTAATCACCTGGCGAGAGTCATCACCACCTGGGTTCCAGTCCCTGCTTCAGCAAATCTTTATTCTCAGAGTATGGAACAACTCCAGCAGAAGCTATTGAAGAATCTCATCTTAGAATCTCTATAGCAGGGGCGGGCAATTATTTTGGGGAGAGGGCCGCTTACTGAATTTCAGCAAGCCATCGAAGGCCACATGACAGGCAGCTCAGGGCAGATTAATATTAATTTTCTAAATTTTTTAGGGGCCCCACAGGCTGGATAGAATGGCTTGGTGGGCCACATCTGGCCCCTGGGCTGCATGTTGCCCACCCCTGCTCTATAGTCAGGTGATTAGGATGTTCTCCTTTAGAGCGAGGAGCTGAATCCAGGTCATGCACCTCTAAGGTGAGTGATCTTGTCCCTGGTAAAAATGTGTTAAAAAAAGAAAAGACATTATTTAAAAAAATCCATTCTAGCCGTTATAATTTATGCTAACATTTTTCAACTATTTCAGATAAATTCATAATTCAAACTATTATAGTAAAAATAGGTTAACTATTGTTGTGGATGATTTTATTTTTAGATTACAAAAGATGTGCAAGACTGCTAACAAGGTTAGCAATGAGTCCTTTGTGTACACAGTCCTAGAAAGTTTGCTGTGTAAGTAATACTTTTTTCTCCATTTGATTCTTTTTTTGTTGTATAGGCTAATCCTTTTCTTAAGATATTTAACACACTAATATGATGGCTAATAATGTATTTAAACCCACAGCTTTGGCACTCCTGTGCTCTTTTGCTGTGCCAACATTTAAGTATTGATAGAGCATGTAGGAACCACATTAGTATATGTATTAATCAATCCATCATTCATTAGCTACTGGGTGCCCAGACTGTTCCTATAACAACTGTGTGTGCGCGCGTGTGTGTGCGCGCATGTGTGTGTAAATATACACATAGTATATAGTTTGAGATTATTAGATAAATATAGTATATTTATCTACTGTTTGATGAAAGTGGTGATTTGGGGAAGTATATATATTATTTCCTCAAATCACCACTTTCATCAAACTATTAGAGAGCAAGCTTCTGAGAGAAGGGAGAAGAAAAATCAATAAGATTCAGATTATGAACATTTTGTTACTGTGTTCGTTTCCATTTTTTCTCATGAAGAAGCAGGGAATCCTCTCAAATTCTAATATCTCAGGTGGTACTGAAGTCTGTTAAAAGCATGGCTTGATAGGCATCTACTTCTCCATTTTAACTCCTCTGCTCCCTGTAGCTTCATAGACTGTACCAAGGAACCTATATGTAGCAGAGTCCCACTTATTGAAGGTGGGAGTAGAGAGGGCACAGCAGATATGGTCAGACCAAGACTTTAACTCTCAGGAAGGAGTCTTATTAGGTACCAGTCCCATGCTGTTTGTATTTGCTGTTTAAAATATTTGAAACTATTCATTAATTGTGTACTAAGAAGAAAACAAAACACATCTTTGAAGGAGCCCCTTTATAAAATAGCTTGATTTTTGGGAGAATATTTTGATTGCTCACCCCGTTCTTCCTGACTTTAAAAAAGATGAAATAGTCACTGCTGCCAAAGGGAAAGAAATATATTCATTTTATTGTCTATCTCCACTGTTCCCTTGTTATACATTCAAAGAAGGCTTACAAAGAAATTCCTAGAGCATTCATTTCAGTTCAGGCAGTTTGGCCTGTCTAATAAGGTTCACACAAAAAGTTCTGTGGTCCCACTCTTGTTTTGGCCTGTTCTTCCCACCTGGAAGTGGGGAAGACTTGTTTCTATACACTCAGAAAATTCCACCCATGGATGCTGGCAGCTTTGTAGTTTAAAAGGATTAAAAGTTGCTTCTGGTTTATGGATCCAAGTGTTCTAATTTACCCGCCAAAGGGATGGAAAATAAATTCAGTGACCCGATTTGGGGGTTGAAAGTGTAAACAGCATTTGGAGCTCACTAATCACCATTTAAAAGGTAGCTGAGCAAACCTTCTTTGACCTTCATTTTCCTGAAAAGTTGAAGCATTCTAGGGACTAAATAAAAACATAGTCTGCATCATCTTCCCTGTCTTCCTTTCCTGTCCAATACTTTATCTTGCTCCATGAGTGACCGCACCTAGTGACTGGTTCCCAGCAGAATTGAATCAGTCACAGCCCTCCATGATGCCCATTAACCAACCTCTCCTATTTAGTGGTACTGACATTTTTCTTGCCTCCTAGTGGATTGGCTGTCCTAGCTTTTCAGATCCTATCAGCTCCATTCCCTTCTATTTTGGCAGTGGTGGGCAGGATTAGTGCCTGATCTCCTGGCACCGACCCAGCATTTAGTGAATAGCTTTGATTATATAGTTCCCTGCTCTTTCTTATGATTCGACAAAGTCCGTAAGTACTGTTTCCTTCCTTCATCTCCTCAGCATTTAAGTAGGGCCAAAAGTTAACATTCCCATTTCCCATTTGTGCCATCTGATAGCACCTTTGGGTTCTGTCAAGATACCAAGAGCAGAGCAGAAGAGTTCTACGATAATGTGTGTTCGGTTTTTTAAAGTAAGTTTTCCCCCAGGTATAAAAAGGTTCATTTTAGGGATGTGACCTTGACACTTATTTTTTTTTTTTTTTACATCAGCTACTGTGTCATAGGGAGCACTGACTTAGCTTTCCTCCCTTCCTTTCCTTAAGATACCGATGGAGAAAAGGATGGAGAATGGTCTAAAAATCATCACTCATGTGAAAGGTGTTTTATAGCAAGTTTCACTGTGCCTCCATTTCAGGACCATGGAGAAGTCTACTGAAGTTATACAGTGTGTGCAGGCTAGTTGGGTGAGCTGCTAGGTTGATTACAAAATAAGTGCTGTGAGGATTTTGGGATACCCTTTGTATGAAAGCTTCTAGAGCTGTTGCTGTTAATTGTTATTTTTTTTTTTTAAATTAAAATTACTATGGCTTATTCCATCATAGGGAACAGGGTGCAGTAGTGATAAAGACTTGCACACGGTGACAAACGGTCAAATGGTAGCTTATCCAGAATTATATTTGCACTGTATGCAGGAAATATTTCTTGTAACCTGTACAGCACGGATCACTAGTATTCTCCTGCTTGCCACTGGCGAGACCCTGTTTAATCATGGAATTAATGTAAAGGTTTCTTTAATTTCACTAGAATTGTGACTTTGAAACAGATTTCAATTAAGCCAAACTGAATAGTTGTGGAAACTAGATGCTTAATGGCATGTTTATTCCTCTTGCAGAGGTTTCTACAAGTGAGAGATATCTGATTTGCCGAGAAAGTGCCTTGAAATCTTCCAAGACAGAGAAGACATCTAGTATCTTTATGATTCACATTATTGTTTTGTTACTAGATGCATTTTATTTTCATATCTGTTGGACATTCCATATTTGTGAGACTGAAACTTTATTTTAATTTGTAAATTTGTTGCCTATAGTTCAAACAAGCCAGTTATTTAAATACATGTATATAAGGAGTACTAATAATATACTAATTAAATGTTATAATCACATGCAGGGAATGGGTTAGATTTTGCTGTTTATCTTGTTCCATTGTATTTACACCATTTTGCTCAGGCTCTTACTTTCATTATTTGCACTAACTTGAAATGCAGAAGTCTATGTGACTGAAATCTGAATAAGCTGTAAGTGGGATGTTTCACTTTCCATGGAAGATATTTTATATTATGAAGCTTTGTTAATATATACATATATATTATCGCGCATCTGAAATGCTCAGAAATGCACCTTGCTTTCAGGAACATTGTATAGCTATTCTGGATTATCATCAGTTACATTTGTACTGGCACTTACGGAAAGAGCTGCAAATAATGTAAATATAAAAGACTGGAAGACTGCAATGCAGTTTTGGCAAAATAAAGAATATACAAAACTATAGGTGTTTAAGTGTTTTTAATTGAGACCTTGGATGGAGATTGAGCTACCAATTACCTTTTACATTTCCTGTAGTAATATAATAGCATATTACAAAAGATCTTGAAATAACCTCCTTATTAAAGGATCAAACACTTGAGTTTGTATAGCATAGGGTTTTCACAAAGTTTGTTTTGAAGAACTAAGCTTTATCCATAAATTCATTCTTTAGTTGATTTGAATGGAATGCAAGCTGTATCTATTATAAACAATAAAAACCACTCAATAGGGAATAATGACAATTTCTTCATAACCCATGTTGGGGGGGGGGGAGTAAATAAATGTCATGTCAGAGGGCATGAAGAGTGTGCCAGAAATGTGCCTCCAAAGGAGAAAAAGGGATCTGATCCCTTACAAACCCATCTACCAAGGATATACTATGTACACTGCCAGAGGAAGAAAGGGCATTGCAGCATGCCAGCTTATCTTGGAAAAGTACGATTTGTATTGTACAGAATGGGGTAGTGGCAGAATGCTGTAGGCATCCTGACACCTTCAAGGACATGAATTTGAGCCTTATTTTGATTTGTACAAAAGGTTGTTCCCAGTCCATCCAACTGTTAAATGGGTACCATGTCATTCAGGCTGGAGAATGAAAGGAAACTGGATATGCTGCTAACCATATCACTCTCTTGCATGCCATTAGCTATAGAAACTTTCATGCTTTACTAGGCAAGCTGATGCCAAGGTGGACCTTTGCCCTGGGCCACACAAAACAGTTTCATACAAATTACTGCTGCAAAGTCAGCTGAATTCTTACCTAGTGTGAAAGGCAAGAGTTTTTTGGGGTGATATTTTTCATTGGGCCAGCAGCATAGTTGGGATAGTTAGACAAGCTTTGAATGCAAGGCATTCTTCTTTAGGTCTGAGGAGAAAAGCAAGCACAGCAACAATTGAAAAAAAACCCAGCAACAACAACCAAAACCATACAGTTAGTGGAGCTTTGACATGTGAGGAGGGGAAAGAAATTCCCAGGGTAGAAGACAAACAATAAAATAATATGAAAATAAACTGATTACTAAGAGATCAAGGCTGATCAAAAGGGAGGAGAATCATTATCGCGTTCTGTGTACGGAAAGAATTCAGGAATCTGGTAGGTCATAATGTGCCACAAAATCAATAGCAGTGTTAAGTGCTTGGTTTTTAATTTCCAAACAGCTTTGTACCCAATGGCATATCAAGCTCAAGTATTTTTTTTTATCCTAAAAACCACTTTATCCGAGGTTCGATTGGCTTCAGTGACTGAAGTAACATTTGCTATTCCAGCATGATCTTCTCTGACAAAGGGTGCAGGCAGAAGTGCAGCTCTCTGCTGTAACTGAGAATACTTTGTAGGAAGCCTTCTGAGTTAGAAGGATCCCCCAGACCAAAGAGGAGTTCACTGTTGGTTCCAGGGAGGAGGGGAATCTAGCTGCTGGCTTCCAGCCTGCAGCAGATTTCCCTTAGCATGGTCTCTTCTCTCTTCCAGCCTGTCCCTGTTTCCGAATGAGAGAGAGAGCAGAGGGAGCTCATTTTAGGGGTTTCCCAGCCACCTCTGGAGTGAGGGAGAAGGGGTCTCTAATACATCTGTCTCAGCCTCCAGCATGAGCTGAAAACCCCCCAGGACCAAACTCCCTCCATTCCCTTTCCCTGCTCCCATTCTGAAAACAGCTCTAGGCTGGGAGGCAGCACAGACAGAAGTTACTCTGTTTTAAAGACAGCTGTTTTGAAGTGTCTTCATCTATGAGGGGTCAGATTTTCACTGGATCAGCCATTTTTTAAGCTGTCTGCAGCTGTGGACACATGTTTGGTCACAGCTATAAACTGCTTGCTGTGGCTGGATCAGGTAAAAATGGTCACTTCTGTCTGTGCTCAAAGTGTTCAAATGGACTCAGAGGCCATCCTTGCATCCAGGCCTAATGTAAAGGTCCCTTTGTCACCACTGTCTTTTTCTTCACGCCGTTTAGTTTTCAGCTTTCTTAGTTTCATTAGTTCAAACTAAAACCTTTAAAGTGTAATGGTTTCATACAATCAAATCTGAGTCTTTTCTAATCAGGGAATCAGAATTCTTGACCCTTGATTTTCCAAACCAGCATTTTACCTCCTGCAGCGTTGGAAGGTAGAAACCATTTTGTTTTCTTGGTACTACCCGCCCCCAGAGGCCTTCCTAAGGTTTTTTCCTGATTATCCCTCACCATTTTCCTGGGCTGCCTCCTATCGTCTCTGCTTGTTAGAGTAATAGATCTGTTCCTATGACTCTTCTTTAAATCAACCTCTATCTTCTTCACACACCATCTCACTGTGTCTGGGTGGCAGCCTTTAATAACAGGTGCTCCTGAATAACTGATTAGTCTCCACTGAGGAGGTAATTAACCCATTCATTAAACCTTGTTAAGCCTGTCAGGGTTGATATACCCTAATGCATCATTGTTTCTCATTGCCTCCTTTGCTTCTCAGGCTTTTTATCATCGTGTCCCACTTTTATCAAACCAAAAGACCAGTTGTATCCCACCTTTGTACCGATGCTCATGTTAATGAAATGCTGCAGTACATAAAATTACAGCAAGTTATCCTGGGACATTTCAGTAAGATTGATGAGCATGTGCCTGTGGATAATCATAATGGTCAACTGAATGGTGAACATAATGGTCATAACTGCTCAACTGAAATTGGAGAATAACCTACCAGTTCTTCAAGGAGCACTGAGGCAGAAGAAGAAACTGGAGCAGATCAGACTATTGGATATCAAATAGAGAGAGATCAGTCAATTAAAGAAAAGTCCTTATTCATGCTCCAGACTACTATCCTATGCAGGTCTGTCCTTTCCTTCTGCTCTGTTTATTTATCTCACAGCCAAGTCCTTGGGATGACTCCTCCTATTCCATCATTCTATAATGACTGAAAAAAAATGTAAGTATGGGAGAAAAAAAAAAGCCCCCTGTAACATGAATCCTTACATCATAGCAATGGCTAGGAAGCATTGCTTCAGAAAAGCAGTATATGAGATTCCAGGCTATTTAAGAAATGTATAAGAAAAAAGTCTACCAGACAGTCCAGACAGTTCTGTTCAGTAATTTGTATTTTCTTATCTTCTCTTTAAGGAGATCTGATATAAACCAGTGAATACCATGTTTTGGCTGAATTCAGTAAGTTGAAGGTATTCAACTAAATCAGCATATTACCTCTCTGGGAAAGAATGTAAAAACTTCAGTTCCTGACTAGCAAAAAAGAGTTAACTCATTTTCTCTAGGAAAGTCCACAGCTGTTTTTTTTCACTGCAGGATACTCAGGAGAGAGTAGTGACATCTGTGGAGGAGGGAAGTCTATCTAGTCTATTCTCTAGATCAGCTCTCTACTTGCCAGGACAACTGTAGAAATGAGCCTTGATTTGGGTGGTAAGAATAAAATGTAGAGATGGAGAGAGTAACTTTCATGAAAAAGTTGTAGAGGAAGATGAAAGCAGCTATGAAAAATGCTGTTGCCCTCCAAGGGAAAAGGTAATTCTACAGCTTACAAGCAAAATCAGGGCACCAACAAGCCAAAATACTGGAAAATTTCAGACATGTTCTAGAGGCTTCATGAATTAGGCAATGGTATTGTATTAATGAATAGATGCGAACTACAAATGGGATATATGGAGATCACATGGCAGAGTTAGTCCCAAAATAGATTTATGAGAAGTTCTGCCTTATCTAATATTGGTCAGGAATGTTTGGAGGGCAGCATTTGCATGCTGCAGGCAATGGTATAATGTGTATCACTGGACCTGGTGAATGCCCTTTCCCATCACACTTTCCTTTACAGCTCAAAATTTTGTAACAACTATGGGAGGCCTGGAAGAACTACAGAGCAAAGTCTGAGGATGTTGCTGTATGTGTTTTATGGGGGGGCCAGAAAAAAAGTTGTCTAGACTCAAAGCATGCTTAACAAAAAGGAAATGGGCAATCAGTTTGTGGCTTAGATCTGGATATAATATTAACTCACGTGACAATAATTCAAACAAAACATAATATTTTGGCAAATAAATTTTTGTCCATTGTAAGATTACTTATTTTGCATTTCACTTGTTAGTAAGTAAGGTGTTGCAACTGTTTTACTTTGGAGTCATCTTGGCCTTAATGAAAGTCAATAGCATATTAATTACCTGGGTTTAAAACAGTATGCTAAATAAGGGCAAGGCTGAAATAGTCATCAGAAGAACAGGAATACTAAAAGAAATGCTGCCACTACATACTAATGACACCCCCTTGTGTCTGTTCATTGTATCACATGCTGGAAAGCCAACAACTAATACAGTCAATGTTTGTGCATCTTGTGAGCAAATAGCTCCTGTAATCTTGTACCTGTTTTGACTTATAAGCTTCTTAAAAATCAACCTCTTTTTTATGTGTTTAGTCCCGTTCCATTTCAAACTATGTGCATGAGTAAGGGTTTGGAGAGTTTTTCCCATTCTTAAACAAATATGAAGTTTACAAGAACAACCCAATAAAACACACTAAATTTAAGACTCCAAAGTATTTCTTCTGTTCAACTACACTTCAGCAAGAATTCCTTTGAGTGATACAAAGAAGGCAACTCTGGCAGATTCATCATATCTGACTGTGGTACCCTCAGTGAAGAGC